GTCACCCTGTGGCTGTCCCTTGTCGAGAGTTGAGGACGGTTTCATCATTGACCACTTGGGTTCTCGTAAGGTCTTTCAGGCCATAACAGGGCAGAAGCGGAATGTTTGGCCTTACTGTTACCTGAGCAAGGTAACATTCACCTGCCTGGACACAAGGGCCAGGGGTGAGGTGGGGAGGTGACTGAGGTCACAAGGAACTCGATGGGATGCACAGGCATTCTCCCACCAAACCCCTCCTGGGCGATGGAGGTTTGCTCTGCCTTGTGACTTGCCCACGTTCTGTGCTAATCTCAGGCCACAGTAGCTCTAAGCTCATCAGGAGGTCCTGCTGGGGACCCTTCCACACAGGTCCCCTTCCTTCAGACACACGGAGTTGCGGCCCAGCGGCTTTTCCTCGATCCCATGTTGCCCAAACCCTACACCTGAGTATTTCCTCGCCGTTGCTGGCCTGTTAGTGGTAACCCATCCTGCTCTGGGACTCACCTGTACTTCTCTCATCTCAGGCCATCATTGCTGCAGTGATTCATGGGGACAGGTACTTACTCAGGTGGTCTCCGTAGGCTCTTTTGAGCCAAAAGAACCTTTTGTACTNCCTCCGTAGGCTCTTTTGAGCGAAAAGAACCTTTTTGTACTTCAGAGCTCTGCTTTGGGGACCCGTTTCTTCTGGAGTCACCCGCNTCTCCGTAGGCTCTTTTGAGCCAAAAGAACCTTTTGTACTTCAGAGCTCTGCTTTGGGGACCCGTTTCTTCTGGAGTCACCCGCAGAAACCCTGCAATGCAAGATACCTGCAGGCAGCATTTCCCCAAATATCTCCCGAGATCACAGCTCCCCAGAGATGCACCATGAGGAGGATCCCACGGTCAGCAATGTGGGGAATGTTGCCGTCTGGATTCCCCTGCTGGAGAACCCTGCTCCCAAGTCACAAGTTCAGTCAATTCTCTGCAGAGACCTCTGGTGATGAAACCTCTTTATCTTTGTTTTACCTACGTTTCCCAAATGTGTTTGGCCAAAGAAATATATATATATTTTGGTGCCTAAAACTTATTAGTATTCCTCGGGGAGGGCTTTGGAAGTGTGCTGTGAACGAGTGGCCCGAATCCCTCGTAGCAGAAGGCGGTGTTTTTTTCCCCTCTCCGCCTACATTTGGCGGAATGCAGAAAAATATATCTTCATTCACATGTGAGGATGTGAGTCCCAGGTCAGACTCCACCCAGCACGGCTGGACCAGGACCTTCCCTGCGGGTTTGCGCAGGGTGAACGTGAACCCCCCTCCTCCTGCCCCCCGCCATGAAGCACGAAGAAGCATTTCCAGCCAGTGCTGAGCTTCCTCCCAAACAGCAGTTTCTAGTTGCACTTGGTGTGCGTGTTGTTTCTGTTACTCGGGTTTCTTCAGACCCGGCTGGGAAGAGTGCTCCCAAAGAAAAGGTAATTGAAGGAAGGGCCAATGAGCTTGTGAAACCGGTCAGGGAATTGTTGAAATCTTGCTAAAATGGCTGGAATTATCCTGTCCCTATTAAAAATCACTTCGATAAATGTTGCTGTCCCTGCCAGGAAGCGTCCCCTCCCGGCCCTGGCGTCCAGCCCTGGCCGAGTGCCCCTCCCCGGCCCTAACACTAACCATATGGCACTATGACAGTCCTTCCCCCACCAGCTGCGAACACCGTGAGAGAAGCAGCCTGGTCCCTGTCAGGAAGTCAGGCGCTTAGTAGGTGCTCAGAAACTATGTCCCACTTGGCCGATCTCACGGCCAGGCTCTGACCTGGTGCTGGGACCCTCGGAATGTCAGAGTGAGAGAGCATGGCGCCTTCCTTCGGGCCAGCCCCTCCTCTCCGTAGAGGACAACCTGAGCCCTATAGGACTCCGCATCTCGCTGACCCCTGCCCTGGACCACAGCCCAGACCCCGCACAGCAGCCTGTGGCCAGGTGGAGCTCTGCAGCCACAGGAGGCCAACTCGGCAGTGCAGTGACNCCACAGGAGGCCAACTCGGCAGTGCGGTGACACCACCTGTCTCGACCAGGGCCCTGGACGCACTTTTAGCATCACGGTGAACACAGCCCCACGTGCCAGGCCCGTGGTGGAGGCCTAGCAGATACTTTCTTGTCTCGTGCAGCCCTACGGGGTGGGGCGACCGCTGTTCCCATGTCACAGCTCAACACTGTCCTGATTCCCGTCTCCCGAAGCTCACNGGCCCGTGCTGGAGGCCTAGCAGATACTTTCTTGTCTCGTGCAGCCCTACGGGGTGGGGCGACCGCTGTTCCCATGTCACAGCTCAACACTGTCCTGATTCCCGTCTCCCGAAGCTCACGGAGGCTGAGGCTTTGCGGTCGGTCGGTGGTGGCGTCGGGATTTCTCAGTCGGGCCTCCTCTGGTCATTTCACAGCCGAGCCCCTTTGTCACTGTCCAGCCACCCTGTCCCCACAGACTGTCCTCTCTCAGTGCTGGTTTCAGACATGATAATGCTTCCCCTGGAAAGCACTCTTTCCTGGAACCGGAGAAATCTTGTCACCGCTGTTTCCAATAGAAAGAAAAGTCCTCTGTGAGGTGCCCACAGCGCTCAGCTGGCGTGGTCAGGAAAATCCTCTCCGTGGCTCCGTGTGGTTAGGCCACAAGCCATGTTTTAAAAGGGCCCCGTGGCCGTCAGTGTGCTGTAGGGAGAGATGGGCGGGAGTGCTCAGGGACCTGGAACAGAAAGTTGTTTTATTCTTGTATCCACACGCATTCTTTGTGTCCTGTATCCCTTCCTCACTGGATGAGCTGCTCACCAAAATGGGTTCTGAGATGCGCTTCGCAGCAAGAATTCACTAGTCTCAGATAGAATGAACGGCCCTGAAGTTGGTGACCGGGGGGAGCCTTTGAGGTTTTTTTCAAAAGGGGCTCAAATGTGGCCAAGGCCGTGCTTTGGCGAGATGAAAGCAGTGACAATGTAGAATGCTGGTCCGAGGAGGGGAAAGAGTGGTGGGCGTGGGCGTGGGCGTGGGGAGGTGACACCGTGAGCACCAGGAGCAGCAGGCTGTGCAGACAGAGGCGGCACCGGGGAGGGGACCAGGGGTCGGTGACCAGGGGCCTTCGAGACAGGAGCAGCCGGAACACAGAGCCCACAAGAGGTAGCTGATGGCCAAGGGCGTGGGTCTTCGTCTGCAAACAGTGCAGTTCCCAAGGGCTGAGTAGAAGGAGCTCAGCTGGGAACTGGTCAGCCTGAGGTGGCGAGGGCAGGTGGAGGCGCACCCTGAAGAGCAGAGCGGAGAGGAGCCAGATGCGATGCTGGTGAGAGCCCAGGGCCACCCAGGGCCAGGCTATGGTGAGTGACGAGTGACACGGGAAGTCCTGGAGGAGCTATAGGTGCCAGCCAGCCCGCAGGCGCCCCAGGTGCCCCCAGGTGCTCCTAAGTCCCCAGGTGTCCCAGGCAAAAGTACTGTGATGGGAAGTTGGAAGTAATGGTGTCGCCCCAAAGCCCCAAAGCAGGGGTAGGTGATAGGTGGATCTCCAGACGCAGCCCACCTTCTGGGTGCCCGCTGTGCACAGGTGAGGATTTGGCTTCTAGAAGCTGGAAACGGGGGTGGGGGGATGTGAAACCAGCCAATGGGGCATGTCATTGTATCTCTGGACTTTTTGTCCCTGAAAGCTGAAAATAGCAATGCAATAGCTAAGGCACAGAGAGGGTTAGAGGATCTGTGTTCTGTTGTTTCCCTTGGAGAGCCGCCCGCGGCTTTCCATGGAGAGGCACCCGCCCCTGTCAGGGAAGGTGACTCGGCCTCAGCCCGGCAGTGGCCCCCTCCTCTCGTCACCAGGGTGAGGGGGGGCTGTCCCACTCCCTCGGTCCTTCCTGACATCCGTCTGCTCCTCGGTGCGGCTCTCCTGTTACAGCCCCTTCGCCGACTCTGTACCGATGACGATTTACTGGAAACGAAGCGCTATCTTCCAAGTCCAAGTTTACACAGAAAATGCTCATTTACAACTTCAGGAAAGAGGAGGCGCATGTTAATTTTCGTGATTTAGTGGCTGTTTATTTGGAAAGGCTTGTTGCATCCCTTCCAGACGTTTTAGGATCCAGCCTCTCTTGCCATCGGGTGCATTTTCTCTCCGTTTGGAGCTCGGGGCAGAGTTCTGAAGCCTGAGTTGTCCAGCAATGCCAGCGTGTCCCTGGCATCCTGAGACAATTCCCCAGGTGCGGGGAGCCCACCTTTTATAAGTGCCACAGCATCGTGCACCCCTTTTTATCATCATCATCATTGTTACACAAAATCCATCCTCAGAAATGTGGAAGACCTATACAATCTTGAAAAATGAAATAAGATTAACCCATGAACCCATTATTCATGTTTTTAAAATTTATTGATTGATTTGAGACGTGGGGGGAGGGGCACATTGATCTGTTGTTCCACTTAGTTGGGCATTCCTTGGCTGCTGCTTTTATGTGCCCTGACTGGAGATCGAACCCGCAACCTTGCCATATCGGGATGATGCTCTAACCAACGGAGCCACCCAGCCAGGGCCCATAAACCCATTTTAAAAAATTTTGAAGTATATTGTGATGAACTAAAAAAGGCAAGGGTCCCTTCCTACCCCAGTCCTGTCTCCAAGAACCAGTTGGTAACAGCACAGTGATTGTTGTGGTCTTTATTTGTCTCTTTGTTGACAGGTGAGTGCAATATGTACATAACCTGCAATGCCCACCCACAGTTCTTACTGAAATTTCTTTTACAATGAAATCTTTTGGCCACATTTTACAAATGCATGACCGAATCATTTACATTTCGTCTTCCCTAAATTCCTCTGCCTCGCCCACACATGCAGGTGACTAATGCACCATGAAATTATCAAAGGACATCCGGCAGAGAGAGGGGTAGGAGGGGGGCTGGTTCCTTGGCCCACATCCCAGACCCAAGGGGTCAACGGTGGATCTGTTTTTCCGATCACCTGAGTAAGATCACGGGCACCTTCACCCCTTTTCCACTCGTCGTGGGCATGCTGTGCGTGACACTGGCATTTCTCATTTCAGGAATGACTATACCCGAAGAGGACACTGATGTGGGACAAGGCAGTAAATACTGCCTGGTGGCGATCGGGAGACTGCAGGTGAGAAACCTCGTGGCCTTTTCAGTCTCAGCGAGGTCTCAGCATGACCACGAGCAGCCTGCAGGTTTGGGCACCTCTTCTGCGCAGCTCGCTGCAGGTTCCGTGTCTCACTCTGGGATAAGGTGAGGCTGGATCTGGGAGCAGAGATGGGGCTGGGAGCTGGGAGCTGCAGACTTCTCGCCTCGCCGCAGCCCCAATCAGTCTGTCCCCCATTCTTGTGCCACTTACTGCAAAGTTGAACCCTGCTGACATCATACCTGTTGAGTCACCTTGGATGTTTCCTCGTGGTCTGCAGGACAAAACGAGCTCCTTGTACCACCTCACCACTCCCGTCCCTGCCCCCGCCCTGCCCTGTTCCCAGGCCACACCGCCCCCTCTCACAGCCCAGGGTGCACATCCCCACCTCTGCCCCTGTGCACAAGCTCTTCTGCCCCGCCTCTCCTGTTCCCTTTCTTCTTTCAAAATCCTTTTTACTTCCTGTTTACTCCTTTGAAATCCAGCTAAAATGACTCCTCTGTTTCAGTCAAAATTCACATTCTCTCCCCCTGCACTCCTGGCATAGGGTTCATTCTCCATGGTTGTTTACTGAGAGTCAGTTCCAAGTGCCTGCCCCTTCCCACAGCTCCTAAAGGGCAGCGAGTGTGTCTTTTTAATCTTGTAGAAACACTAAATATGCTGAATAATATGTCTGAAGGGCCCTGACTCAGTGTCTGGCTCACAGTCACGGCTCCGTCAGCGCAGCTCTTGCTGTCCCCGTGACACTGAGCGCCTCCCCTTATGGGAGGGGGGCGCGGTGCACAGGACCCTCGCTGTTCATGTCCCAGTTCCCCAGGTCTCAGCGTTTTCAGACAGATGAATAAGCCATGTCGATCACGTATGATAAACATGGGTTATTCCTTGCAGACGGGTGAAGAAAGGCTACTTGGGTAAATTCCGTCTGCAGATGTTGACTTTCTAAATATTTTGACCAGTTGCTTGGACTCCTTTGCCACCCTTGGTAAAGGGCAGGTGGGAAGAGGGGAGGGTGTTGACGTTCTCAGCACAGGCCGTGTGCTGGTGTTTAACGTGCAGGCTCTTTGGAGCCTCACAACCACCCGGTGAGAGTACAGGCTCCCTTGTTCCCACGGAATGATCAGGAAACTGAGGCTTAGAGATGGAAGGGGCGTCGTGGCCTCTGTCACCGTTCGTCTAAGGGTGATCCGGGCTATTGGCACATTTTAGATTCATGGTGCTAACTCCGTGGAAGGATCTGTGAACCTCAGTCCATGTGGACTACACCCATTCTCTGTCTCTGTCACAACCTGTTCTGCATGGGTTTCCCTCCAGGTGACCAGCTCTCCCGTGTGCATGGACATGAGCGGGATGTCGGTACCCACGGAATTCCTGTCCCGGCACAATGCGGACGGGATCATCACCTTTGTGGATCCGAGATGCATCAGTGTGATCGGCTACCAACCCCAGGTAGGTCCTTCTGAGCTCACGGCCGTTGGTAAAAGATCGAACTTCCTCAAAAAGTCCTCATTTCCTTTGTTGGACATACGACACGGTCACGGTGTAGAGCGCACGGCACAGAAGCCCGTGTCCCTGCCTGGATGGAGCATTGTTCTTCCAAAGCAGGGCCGGATGTCGGAGGCAGCTGCTCCCCTTAAAGCTGATCCCCCACTCTTTGCTCTGGCCACTCTCTTCATCTACCCGATTCCCACAAAGCAGAGTGACGGTGCTCCGTGCACAGGGGTTCATTGCAATCAACACCACACAGGAAATTTCCTTCTTGGAAGCTGACAACGCATATGAACGTGAAAGACTGAAAGGTCTTGAGGTCAAGGTTCCACTTTGTTCTGCCTAAGCCCCTGTTTCTCACAGGCATTTAGAGCCTGCTTTTTTTTTCTTTTTTTTAAAAAATATATCTTTATTGATTTCAGAGAGAGGAAGAGAGAGGGGGAGACAGAGACAGAAGCATCAGTGATGAGAGAGTCATTAATGGGCTGCCTCCTGCACGCCCCCGACTGGGGATCAAGCCCGCAACCTGGGCATGTGCCCTGACTGGGAATTGAACTGTGATCTCCTGGATCGGCCATGCCGGCCAGGCTGGAACCCGATTTTATAGGGGGCATGTTCTCAGGTCTTTGTTCTAGACCTTTCAAAAAAAAGAAGAAAAAAAGTCGGTATCATGAGAAACACAAAAGACAGGAGAGATTGTTCCAGGTTAAGATAAAGCAAAGATATAAAGTAACAATATGCGATGGGAGAGCCCTCATTGGTCCTCAGCATGGAGACAAGTGGGTGTCACCCACATGTGGGAGGCAACTGAGGAGACGTTCATGTGCGTGGACCATTGGGTGATTTTATTGAAACTCTAGTTATAACATAGCATATTATGGTTTTGTAAGATAAGCTCACTTTTATGAAATACGTGCTTTTCTGTCTCAATTTAAAATTCCCAATAAAAAGCATTTAAACAAAAGAGAAAGAAAAAGGTCTTTGTTCTGAGGAGCAAAGTGTAGGACACATCCATCGGGGTCTTTTAATTACATGTATATTTTAGAACTAAAAACCGTCCAAGCTGAAATAGTGGAACCATTCGTGTAGTTCTAAGATCTCTAGATTCATGAGGGTCTTGGATGGAATGACAGAGACGACTCTGTTTAAAAATTTGCCATGACCTTTGATGGTGGTGCTTGTCCAGCCCGATCTGTCTACCCACTGGCACCTCCCACAAGCATCTAGATGGTTCTTGGCACAGAGATGAGACTTCCTGCCCACAGTCACTGTCAGCCCC